TTTCAAAGCAAAATCCAAACAGCTCCTTGTTCCGTTAGCCATTAAGTAGCGACAAAATAATAAAATGCATAGCACAAAGAAGTTCGAATACGACCAATTCCAACTTCTCCAAAAACAAAGTAACCTATCATCACACACCATGTGGCAAAAGCCAACTGGGGCTGCTCCTCTCTCTCTCTCTCTCTCTCTCTCTGTGGTTGGTATCTGCATACCATATGCCTAACATTGTACACACTGATTTTGACAAAATGGCTTTGGTTTCTTCCACCTGTTCTTGATCTCTAAATCAGCCAATTGCCAAATTTCCAATCTTTCCAAGACCCAAAGAAACCCAACATCACAAAAGGCAGTTATTAACAGTTACCCAATTCACAGCAAACATAGAGAGTTCAAGATTTGCTGCCAATTTTCTCTCTCTAGAAAACTCCCCTGAAAAAGCAAAATGCCATCCCAACAAATTCTACCCATAACATACCATCCACCTTCAGTCTTCTCAAGCTCATCTTCTCCCACAGAAAAACTGCTACTCAAAGATGCAGAGGATGACCCAACAACTAGGCTTCTCCTCTTTTCACATTTTGAAGAAGAAGATGAAGAAAAGGGCACCCCCATAATAAAGCCCCTTCTCCCTAGGGCCTCAAGTTACATTACCACCACCACGAATGGTGCCAACAAGCACCAGCAGAGGCGGCGCCGGACCGCCAGCGATAGCTCCCTCTCTTCGCTCTCCGATGATAGCCGCAACAATTCCTTGGGCCGCGAGGTGGAGCACGCTGCCGCCGAGACGTTCTTGGTGACCCGGTTAAGTTTGAAGCTATTGAGATATCTTGGGTACGCAAAGTTCTGTTCTTTTTTTAAAAAAAAAAATTCTTGGTTGGTTGTTTTTTTGATTTGACACTTGCTCTGTTTTGGGATACCCATTTTGTGATTTCGATTATTTGCAAACTGAGTAAAACTGGATTGCAAATAGTGCTGTCTATCAATGGTTGTATGCTTGGATTGGAATCAAGGACTTCACTTTCAGAGTGAGAGCTATTTGATTATCATTTGAGACTAATAATATTGAACAATGAGTTAGAACTGTCTAATGAGATCTCTGGAAAGTGAGATTGAGGAAAATCTGACCTTCGGCGTGAACATGTGTGAAATAATCTATGGATCACACAAAAACAAAAGATATTGCCTTGTGAGCTCTGTAAGTGGAACATGACTGTTGGAAAGAACATTGATAAAAGAAGATACATAACCTAAAATAAGCAAAATGGAAACGGCTTCTACCGGTTGGAAACTTGGAATTACTTAAAATGGAAGGTAATCTATTAAAATTCATCATCCTGAAGTTTACACATTAGAAAGAGAGAAAACTTGTTTTTAGAGGGCACTCTTATGTTTTATATTATTTATGTTACATGGATTCATGATCTTTGAGATCTTTATCAAGCATTTCTCTATTATTAGATGCTTCCTGATTGTATATTTTTGTTCAGGGTAGGCTACAGATGGATTACAAGATTTCTTGCCCTTGGTTGTTATTCATTTTTACTCATGCCAGGATTTATTCAAGGTTTGTAACATTCATATGGGGCCATCTTAAAATTATCTTGCATATATGCCTCACCTCTTGCATACCTTTTACGCATTATAGTTTTTTTGTCCACTTCGGATATTAAATTTTGTACACCATTATCATGGCCGTGAGATAGGATTCACAAATTATCATCCAAGGGAGGATGACTAGACTAGTCTACCTGTCTTTTGCAGTTGGCTATTATTATTTCTTCTCCAGTCAGGTTCGCAGAGGTATAGTTTATGGTGATCAACCAAGAAATAGGTAGGATATGAACTTTCTTCATTTTTTTGTGTATTCAGGAGCAGTAAATATTTTAATATTCATTGGTTTTGCAGCATTAATAGCTGATACTTTGTTCTGCAGGCTAGATCTGTATTTACCCAAAAATACCGACGGGCCAAAGCCAGTCATTGCATTTGTAACTGGTGGAGCCTGGATTATTGGGTGAGTGATGTTACTCCGTGGCAGCCTATTTTGAATAATTCTATGAAGGGTCTAGCTAGCAGTAGCTTACATTACTGTTGGTTTCCGGGATGTAAATTTTAAGCAGTGGAGCTGAGACTGAGGTCACTTTTATTGGTACCATGATTCCTAATGCTTGAGTTGTATTCAGTGTGTCATAGTTTGCTTTGTTTGTTCATTTTGATCACAGTTGCCTTTTTCTTGCAACATTTTCCTGCCTATTTATTCTTAATATGTTTTTAGTTTTCTGTTGATGCAGTTACAAAGCATGGGGGTCTCTTTTAGGACAACAGTTATCAGAAAGAGACATCATAGTGGCATGCATAGATTACAGGTGGCTTTTTTACCTTCAAGCAAGCACATACTACAAATGATAGGTGCCATATGTCCAAATGAAACTCTATTCTTCTGAAGGAACTTTATGAATATATGGAGATTTGAGTCTCTCTGATACACAACCTCTGTTATCTATGAAAGGGAATTAATATAATCTAATCCTTAGCTACCCGATTTTAGACATTATCTTGATATGATTTCTTCATGCAGAAATTTTCCTCAGGGTACTATCAGTGATATGGTAAAAGATGCTTCTCAAGGAATCTCATTTGTGTGCAATCATATTGCTGATTATGGAGGTGATCCTAATAGGTAATGGAATCTTTTGTTCTAAATTTCAGTCATGGAGGGTTTTTTTTTTCTATAATTTGGTTTAGTCGTGGAGATAATCCTAGTAACTAAAGTTGGCATTTTTCCTGCTATGTTTGTGCAGGATCTATCTAATGGGACAATCAGCTGGTGCACATATTGGTGCATGCGCACTCATTGACCAGGCAATCAAGGAGGCTGGTGAAGGAGAGAGCACTTCTTGGAGTGTTTCCCAGATAAGGGCTTACTTTGGTCTATCTGGAGGGTAAATGTCAAAATTCATCTGAAATCTGTTGCCCTCTTCTCTGTTATAGTGAATCATATTAGATGAGAGTATGCCACCAGTGAACAGGCAAATGCATTCTAATGTGACTGACCCAAGGCTGTAGGAGGCCGAACCAGATAGTTACGTCTTTAATTTGAATATGTTAGTGGGTAATGCAGGTTGTAGTGCTTGTACGGCATACACATGTTCCTGACCAAATTCTTAGATCACCTTTTGCTTCTGAACTGATAAAAAGCATACTTGTATTCTATAATTGTATTTGCTTCAGTGTAGTCTCCGGACTTGATAGTACAACTATGGTCTAATAAATCATACTTGTTTTTTTTCTTCATCCACGATCCCATTCTTTCTGATTGCACCTGCTGCTCTTTTCATGCTTTTCTTTTGTAAGTTATGAATTTTCTTTTTGCACTAAAGGTTCTCATTCTGACATGCTCAAACAGGTACAATTTGCTTAACTTAGTGGATCACTTCCACCGTCGAGGTTTATACCGTTCAATCTTTTTAGGGTAAGGACCTTCTTGGTCTCCTAGAAAGTTGACTGTACATATACTCTTCTAGTGCCATATTTTTTGTTAGAATGCATTTGATTTTTATGACTTCAAAACCTTTTTCAGCATAATGGAAGGGGAGCAATCATTGCAACGTTTTTCTCCAGAACTCATGATTCAGGACCTGAACATTAGACATGCTGCTTCTCTCCTACCTCCAATTATTTTATTTCATGGTACAGCAGATTATTCCATACCATCAGATGCCAGGTATAAGTTTCCTCTGAAATGAATTATTTGATCGCCTATAGTTCTTTCTCAATTGTAATAATGTGAACCCCTTCTTTAGAAATCTTACAACTGAGTATTTCATTGTTGCATTACTTAATGTAACTGTTAGAGTCAAAATAAGATTCAGACATAAGGTTTTCCTTTAAATCTTATAGGTTACGATTACAAGTCTACAGGTGTTGACTAACATGTTCCCTTGTGCAGCAAGAATTTTGCAGAAACTCTTCAGAGACTTGGAGTGAAAGCTAAATCGATTCTTTATGAAGGGAAGACTCACACGGATTTGTTTCTTCAGGTAAGGGATCACTAAAGATGGTTCCTTTTTGTTTTAACATTGGGGTTGTGGAGTTTATGGTTATAGTTAAGAAAAATGCTCCACTCAACTATACATTTTCTGCAGACTAGCTCTTATTTGCTTTTTGGTTTCTTAAATCTAGAATCTCCATCAACGGCACAACCATTTATTTTCATTCTTTAAAAAGGTGAAATGCTCCAATGCTTTGTTTCTCTTGCATCTTCAAGTACTGGTCTGGGATTTATTCTTTCCTGCAAGAACCTTACAAAGCAAACTTGCCACTCTTCGATATTTATAAATATTTTCACTTCTTTTTTAATCAAGAGATTACTTCTCCATTTTCGGATATTGGAAGTACTAACATGGCCTATCAAAAGATCCTACCTTTTAAATTCCCCCCTCCCCAAGACGGAAAAGAACACCCTAGAAAGAAAGAGTTTCTTATACTAAATCTATTTGGTGGATGTGTTATTCAGGATCCAATGCGAGGTGGTAAAGATGATATGTTTGAAGATTTAGTAGCTATCATTCATGAAGGTGATTCAGAGGCTCTTGCCAAAGACGCAGTGGCTCCGCCAAGAAAACGTCTTGTACCTGAGTTCATGTTGAAGTTGGCTCACCGTGTTAGCCCATTCTAGCCAGTTTGTCAATCAGTTATCAGCCCCTTGAGTTTCTTGGTGATTTACTCTATTTATTTTGTACATATCATTAATGACAGTTGAAGTGTTTACCCCTTATTTTTTGGGTAACCTTCAGATTTACCCTCTTCTCTTGTCCCTATAATGTCTGAAAGATTCTGAAAACATGTATAATCGTTTAGGATGATATGTAATGATATTGACGACCTTAAGGGGATATTTGTAATCATAAACCCAGATTATTTTACATTGCGAACTAGAAAAACGAAGCACTTTTGGCTAATCTGTGACAAGGTGAACCCATCTTGCAGTGTAACATTTGAGGACCGTAGCTAAAGACATTTTTATTTCATTAGGGCGTGGCTTTACATGGATGAGATCAAAGTTGCCATGCTTGCACTCATTGATTACAAAATCCAAAAACACAATATTAGGAGACAATACGGAATGAAATCGTTTCTTTCTTATAAGCGCTAATCAGCACTTCGGTCAGTTCTTGGCTGCAGCTTTGCCACCTTTACCCTGTACAATCATCATCGGTTTGTTAGTGAAACCAAATTGACTAATACGAATTAGAAAGAAAAAAAAAAAAAAAAAAAAAAAAAAAAAAAAAAAAAAAAAAAAAAAAAAAACTACATCATACCTTCTTCTTGGGTGCCTGAGGCTTTGATGCAGCCTTCTTTGGGGCTGCCTTCGATGCTGGAGCTTTGGCTCCACCATCACTGGCCTTGGAAATGACAGGTTCTTTCTTGGCCTGCCCAAATAGTTGAGTGCCAACTTGCTTTTCAGCCTTCAATGATGCCATGTGTAGTTCTCTAAGAAACTCTTTCACAAAGATATGAAACTTAACGTACGTACGTTTATCTTAACTTGATAGCCTCAACTCAACTGCCTGATCCTGCCCTTTTTATAAGAGCAGTTCCCAACTGCGAAAAGGAATTAGAATAACAAGTTAAGAAAAAAGGTGACGATTAAAGGGATGGTGGTGTTTGAGGAGAATGGAATATAACTGGCTGGTATTGGCAAAATGGCAGAGCTCTGTTGGCATCAGATGCTTTTGCATACTTACTGCTTACCGATATATATTATACTGAAATTGTTAGAAATCAATCTCTCAGCATTTGCTCATTGGTGTGAATAACTGAATATATGACTTTTGAAGGAACAATATGCGATCATGAAAATAATTATATGATTCCTTTCGGACATATTTGCATGGTTCTTGGACTTTGGGGTCTTCTAGAACATCATTATATTATAGCAAGTGGATATGGAAGTGAAAATCAATAATGTTAGGACTCAAGATCCCACATTGGAACCTAGAGTGGTTCAAGAGCTCATAAGCACCCTTTTCTTACAAGCCGGTTTTTAAGGGCAAGTTCTATCTACTCGTGAGTTCTTAACAATTGGCATCAGAGCCAGGTTTCACCACGCAACTGGGCCCAAATCCACGAAAGCATCTAAATCCGAATTTGGTTTTAAACAGGAAAAATTAATGGGATCGTTTGCTTCTACACTAAGCTGTGAATATTTTAACAACATTTTGAAGACTAGGGTTTGAATCTTTTGTTTGATCTTTAGGACAAAGTCAAAGAAACCCACTTCAATGGAGAAGGGTCTTCCTCTTTGTGGATCAAATTCAAACATCACATCCATTGGCAAAATAAAAAAACCTGAGGTGGGTTTTGAGAACTTGAACTGGGTAGTCTTAGCTAAGAATTTCTCAATTTCATTTTTGCCAAGCCTATGACAAAACAACAATTAAAGTTGGTTCAACAAAGCGTGGTTCTACTTTATTTTATCAGACTAAGAGGTATATGCGAAGGATCTTTAGCCAATTAGACAACAGCCCACCTTAGTGCAAATCTGCTTTCTATCTCACTTAATCAGATTCTCTTGAGCCTTATTTCACATTAGAATATAACGAATAGATCAATCTTCCCCAAGTTTTTATTTTCAATATATATGAATTCAATTCTGAGCTTCTTTCTTATTAATTAGTCATCCTCGTTATAACTTGTAACACAACAATCAAACCCCTTTGCAGTTTGCCCCAACAAAGTTCAGGTTTTGATATGTTTTCCTGTCCTTCAATCAAGCCTCGTTACCATGCTCCGTCATGATCAAGTTTTTCAAGTTCACTTAAAATTAGAAAGGAAATGGAAGATGTTCTGTAGAGGTTTGATGGTGAAAATACCACATATACAGAACCTCTGCCTGCCCTTTTTTTTTTTTTTTTTCACATACTTTCCATTATGAGACAATAAGAAATGAAATCTTTATTTTTTATATGCTTTTTGTTTTTGTTTCTTGTACTATATGAGGTATGGTCTAGTAGAAAATGGTCTTGACTTGCAGATCATTGGTCTCAAGTTTGAACCTCCTAAGACACATTGATAGTGTGTGTGTGAGAAACCTCATTCCCCTTATCACTTGTATTTTTTTTTATAAACAGTAATCAGAAATTTGGTTAGTTCTTGGCTGCCGCTTTGCCACCTAAACCCTGTACAATCATCATATTGGTTTGTTAATGAAACCAAATTTTTTTTAATTCAAACGATAATTAAAATTAATTTAAAGGGAATTCAAACTTGGATGCGAATGGAGCGGGCTTACTGCCTTGGCCAACTGGCTTACCCCACATCTGCTAATGAAACCAAATTAATTAACATAAGGCATGAAGACAAACCAAATCATACATTTAACTGATAGGCCAAGAAGATGACCCGAATGTGGATATACATGTACCTTTTTCTTGGGTGCCTGAGGCTTTGGTGCAGCCTTCTTTGGGCCTGCCTTAGATGCTGGAGCTTTGGCTCCACCATCACTGGCCTTGGGTTCTTTCTTGGCCTGCCCAAACTGTTGAGTGCCAACTTGCTTTATTTCAGCCTTCATTGATGCCATGTATAGTTCTCTAAGAAACTCTTTCACAATGATATATGAAAAATCTAACGTAGGTATTAACTCGATGGCCTCAACTCAACTGCTTGCTCCTTCTGAGCCTACCCTTCTATTATAACAGCAATTCCTCACTGTGGAAAAATAATTAGAATAACAAGTTAAGATAAAAGGTGACAACTAAAAGGATGGTACGTAGTGTTTGAGGAGAATGGAGTAACTTGTATTGGCAAAATGGCAGAGCTGCACTGCACTTGAAGGCTGTTGGCATCAGATGCTTTTTCTTACTTATTGCTTACCCCTGTTATCTGAAATTGTTAGAAATCAATCTTCGCATTTGGTAATTGGTGTGAATAACTGAATATGCGACGTTTTAAAGGAACAATTTATGCGATCATGGAAATAATTAATTATATGATTCCTTTCGGACATAATTGCATGGTTCTTGGACTTTGGGGATCTTCTAGAGCATTGAAAAGAACCGAGCGGCTCACGCTGCGGCTTCGTTTGGTATAGGAGCGGTGCATAGGGTTACCTGGCTGGATCAGCTACCACCGTCCCTTATGGGTGTTTTAACCTCTGATGGGCTTCCTTGCCCCACTGTTATTTAATATTTTATTTTGCTGGGTTAGGTTTCCTGCACTATGCATATGCTGTGTCTAGCTCCTTTTCCCAGCTTTTGCTTATCTTGTATCCTCCTTTTGGCTCCCCTGTGTGGGGTTCATGAAGTATCTTTTATGACCCCACCAAAAAAAAAAAATCCACGATATTGAAAGATCTAATGCGAATTTGGTTCTAAGCTAGTGAACGTAACGTTATAAGATGCAATTCGTTGAAGACAAGGGGTTTGAATCTTTACTTTGATCTTTGGGACAATGTCAAAGAAACCCACTTGAGGGTCCTCTTTCAAGGATTATTCTTACTAAATATCATTCAGATTGAAACTTGTTTGGTAATTTAAAATGTGCAAAAAATGCAATTCGTTGGATAAAACTGAAACGAAAATGTGGAAAATCCGATGGCTAAACAATTCCTGATTTAGCTGAATTTTGCATGGATAATATCATTCTTACTATAGAAAGCATATATATGTGTGTGTGTGTGCATATGTTGAAATAAATGTGGGCAATGGCATTGTTGTAAGTTGCAACAGTTTCCCATATTCTCTAAGTGCCGGAGCAAGATGCATCTTCATTTTCAAACTGTGTTAATTTCATCTTTCTGGCCGTGTATGAAGGAGAGGAAGGTCCTCGTACGTTCTTCTTCTTTCCAGTTTTGTAGTCTGCATTAATTTTTAACTTCGGGGGTCTCATAGCATATTTTTGGCCTAAAAATTCCCATTTTTAAATACAGATGGTCTAGATTAGAAAACAAAGAGGCGCACCAGGGGATCAGGATCCTAGGACTAGTCTGCCGTATCGTACGAGTTTGGAAAAGTTGAGCACTCTTGAGTACTGGTCAGTCTAGCTAGGAATTTCTCAACTTCATTTCTGCCAAGCCTATGAACAAACAGCAAATTAAACTTTGTTCAACAAAGCGTGGTTCTACTTTGATTTTATCAGACAAAAGGTATCTGGGAAGGATCTTTAGCCAATTAGACAACAGCCCACCTTAGTATAAACCTGCCTTTTATCTCACTTTATTTTATCAGATTCTCCTTAGCCTTTTTCCACATTAGAATAGAACGAATAGATCAAATTTCCCAAGTCTTTACTTTCAGTATGACTTCAATCCTGAACATTTTTCTTATTAATTAGTCATCCTTGTTTTAACTTGTAATCAATCAAACCCCTTGCAGTTTGCAACTGTCATGACCAAGTTTTTCGAGTTCATCTGGTTAGGCACTTGAACTTTCTAAGCCAATGGCAAGCAAGGACCAGTTCCTTTTAAAATATAGGTATCTTTTTATTCATTACGCCAAGCCTAAAATGAGAGACATGTACATATATCACAACCAAGTGTGCGGTTATGTTATTATAAAACATAGGGAGGACCACGGTGATTTAGCATCTTCATGTACTCCACACCTTGCGCCGTTGATCTAATTCTTGGTTGCAGGCTTGCTTCCCGTTGTCTAAGAAAACAGTCATAATAAAAAGCTTGTAAGCACATAATCAATGCCCCATGAGTGTTAGAAGATTCTATGTAAGAACAAACTTAAGAAATAAATGGAGAATAAGTGCTTCTAATTCAATAGCATGATGGGGTACGTAGGCTTGCTTGCTTACCTTCTTCTTAGGCTCCCTAGGCTTTGGCTCAGCCTTCTTAGGGGCTGGTTTGGAGGCCGGAGCTTTGGGCGTGGTGCCACTAGCTTTGGGAGCAGGTTCTTTCTTGGCCTGCCCTGCAGAGGGTTGAGTGCCAACAGGTTTCTCAACCTTGAGTGATGCCATTTTCTGTTTGTTAAGCTCACACACAAAAGTGTTTGTTTGCTTCCTGTCTGGCTTCGATTGTTAGCTCTACTATGATACAGCCATTTTATAGTTGAGGTTCATAATTGTGACCCGGAATCAGAATCCTACTTGCAGAAGATATATGGTGAATAGAGATGTGATTGCACATGAGCAGATGGAATAAAATGGTCTGGTGGCCCGTTGGGAGATGCCGTTGAATCAGATGCTTAATCAAGACATATCGAAATTGACATCATTCGATGCGTATTCTAGGGTGCGCATTGGTATACAGTTGATTTAAATGCATAAACCTATAGAGAAGTACATTCACTTTCTGTACTAAAGATATTATGTAGATATCAATCCATTGTGGACTAAGATTTTACTATTTTCCAGATTTTCCATTCAAATTTCCCTAAAACCTGACCTCATGTCATTTTGCAGCCTAACATGCATCTCCCTCGTTTGAAATTTTTGTAAAATTTGCAATTCAGGAGTATGAAGGTTAAGTGTATACATTTGTAGTTTTAAGGAAAATATGAAGCACCACAGAACCTTTATACAGGATGAAATAAGTAAAATTTTGGTTGGAACACCATATTGCAGTAGTGCAGAACTTTTTACTGCATCAAAGTGATAACTTATGAAATTTGATAAACTGTTAAAACATCATTGCTTGGTTACTTCATCTACACAAGCCCAAGTGGTTCAGGAAATTCTTTCTATTTATTTCACAGTTCTGTTGTTCAAGTTATAATGGAATAAGAGTTGTCATCAGCAAATTGAATTGCAATTTTGTTTACAAACCTACAATTAATAATATCATATCAATTTCCATGTAAAGGAGTACAATTGAGATTTCTCCAGCCATCATGAAATCCAGATTCACAATATCAGTTGGAAACCATATGATTATTTTGATAAAATTGGAGATCGAAGAGTACGTCATCAAATTCTCTAGCTGCAGGGGTGCATGTCAGTTTCTGATCTATCACCGTCAAGATTCAAGAAGTCAGTGAGGTTGCCCCATCCTTAGAGCCACATAAGCCAAAACCCTATATCCCACCAACATCACAGCCAAAGCAGCTACATCTGACCACATGCTATCAAGTCCCAGATACTTGATAGCAGGAAAGTTCATGACACTACAATGCATCCCCATCTCACACTCATAAACTTCATTTGCTGAGTACTGAACTCCCACAAGAAGCTTGTAACAGTAATGGCTGAAGGAAATGTACTTCAACCAAGCAATGAAAGATGGGATGTGCTGGATGTAATATCCACCTGCTAGTAAAAACACCAGCATGGTCACAGAAGCCAGAGTGGTGCCCTGCTTCACATCCATAAGAATGGCCCCAAGTGCTAGCCCCAGGCCTTGGGAGACTAGAACATTATAAAGAACAATGGAAAGGGTTAGTGCAAATGTGACAAATGAAGGCTTGAGACCCCCCATCCAATAGCTTACTGTCACAAACACTGTTGGGAGCACAAGCTCCATTGGCAAATCACCAACCGTTCGCGCAAAGTAGTAGGAAGAGAGACGGTACATGCCCGAAGAGCGTTCTTTTACTAGCATTGGCCTTTCCATGGGGAATGCAAATATGGCATTGAATAGAGGGAAGAAGCCCCAAAATATGGAGAAGAAGAAAAGAAGTCCCACCTGTTCAAAGTGTAATATTAATTTGCTTAGTGCTTATAGCTATAGTTGATCAAATATTGCTCAATATTATTAAGGCCTGAAAATTATAGATGGGTGGAAATTGCAATACCTGATCTTGTATATGTGAAGTGTCAGAGTGCCACCACAGAAGGCCTGAAAGAAGGGAAACTGACAAGACTTGGAAAATCCTTAAGCCTGAGAAAGATTCATGCTTCCTCTCTTTTAAACCCCTTTCCAGCAAAACCTTAAATTGCTCCCACCAGCTGGTGGTCCATTGGTACTTTCCACTGCCTGCAGATGTACCATGTACAAATGATCAAAACGCAATGCACAACAGCACAAATCAAACAGCAAGACCCAGAGAGACTTAGTTGGAATTACTTACCTCTAGATGATGGTGTTGTTCTTGAAGGAGCAAGAAATGTGTCTTTATGACTTTGCTGAATCTCTGCCTTCAAGACAGGGTATAGGTTCTTTTTATAGGAAGATATTAGGAACTGCTTGGTTGTGTTTTGATCTTCTTGGTGCTCTAATCTGCCATTATACTCTAGTTGATCATCCTGTTTAGCATCAGGTCCTACTCCTGCTTGTCAATCAATTTTCAAGAAATTTAACAAAAAATAAATTGATCATTGATAAAAGAAAATACCATACTCATTGATAAACTAAAGGTAAAGTTGTATGATTTGGATGGTCCTTGAAACGTAGTACAATTATTGAAAAACAATCACCCTATAAAGACCAATAAAACAGAAAACCATGTATGACCCACTATCTTGATTTTTTTCCTTTCTTTTGATCCACCACTCCATACTCATATGGAAATGAATTCAGCATCCCATCAGTTTCAGGTGGTTACAAAAATTTGACGGAAGTGAATGAAAAGGATGCAAAGCAGAAAGTTTTTTAGGAGGGGTCAAATCAAATTGTATGAGTCTTTCAATGCATTGGCTTGCACCATATATTGAAAAGCCTAATTCAAGCTGGGTGGAGAGGCATGCAGTAGTCATCCTAGGTGCAAAGTAAACGATCTCGACTACTTGAGTTACAAATCTTTACGTATTAAATTTGTGATTTTTAAGTGTTGGATGAGCTCAAATTTATTAAAATTAGATTTTATCCATTTCATAGCTAAATTAAGAAAAGAAAAAAGTTTGGGCTTTGGATTGGCACCAAGTCCATACTCCATATTGGCCATGTGAAGTGTTCCTTTCGAAGGCGACTAATAAGAGGGACGTGGTTGCCTTTGCCTGCTCTGTTCTATTCACAAGGCAGTCGGTGCGATCAAACCTTTTTGGACCACTCACACACGCACTACGTAATTATTGTGAAAATCAAACCTTACCTAAGGCAATTAACTGTTAAAATTTTCTCAATCTAATTACATTGTGAAGTTGACATCCTATCCTTAGCTAATAACTTTGGAACATCTTTAGCTAATATATTATCCGATAACATAATATATATATATATATATATAAAGTTTTTTAGCCAAAAAAAAGAAAAAAAAAATCTCTTTAAAATTACTCTATATCAATTTAATAATACTATTATGCTAAGGAAAATAAAAAATTTGGTCAACATTATACTAGAAAATTAAATTACAATTCATAATTATAAGTAAATATGCCTATTTATTTGCCACATTTTCGTAATTATTGTGAAACGTAATGAAATTAATAATGCTATTAAAATTTAAAGGAAAAAAAAAGCTAATAATGAGAAGAAATTTCATACCGTTGGCAAGATCAAGCAAGAAATCAGCAGGGTTGATGAAGTTGAACCCGGCCTCATATCCAATGGAGCCAAAATATTCCATGACCCGACCCGCATGCCCACTATAGATCGGGTACCCGTCCGATAAAACCACCACCTTATCAAACATCCGATAAAGCCTGCTGGACGGCTGATGAATGGTGGTGATCACCGTCCGGCCACCACGGGCCAGCTGCCGCAGTGTAGCAACGATACGCTGGGCGGTGGTGGAGTCGAGCCCAGAAGTGGGCTCGTCGAGCAACAAAAGGCTCGGGTTAACCAGCATCTCTTGCCCGATACTGACCCGTTTGCGCTCACCACCCGAAACGCCACGTAACAAAGGCCCACCAACTATACTATCACGGCACCGGGTCAGCCCGAGCTCCATGATCACCATCTCAGCTTGCTCCATTTTCTCTTCCTTAGTGAGCTGCTTGGGCAGCCTTAGCAAGGCAGTGTAGGTGAGGGTCTCGAGAACAGTGAGGTGAGGGTACAAGACGTCGTCTTGTGTGACGAAGCCGGTGTTGTGCTTCATGGAGCTTGAGAAATGCTGGCCATTGTAGGTTATCTTGCCTGAGATTTTACCCGGCAAGCGGCCGCTGAGGGCGGTCAAGAGGGTGGTCTTGCCACTGCCCGATGGCCCCAACATTGCGAGTAGCTCACCGGGTCGAACGATCCCACTCACTCCATTGAGTATAGTGCGTGTTTGCTTTGGCTCATGTGAAGCTACCCAACCTCCCTTTGTGGTTTGCAGCTTAATACTGTAAGTGACATCTTCAAACTGCACCATCAAAATACATACATACAAATGTTAGCTTAATGTATCTACATTATTATGAAAGTCCAATAAATTTTTTATCATATAATTTAACATATTATGTTACGCGATATGTAAACCTGAATTATTATAACATGTCAAATATCTGCCAACATAAAAATTTGGTTTGGTAATTGCCTTGAGTGTGACAGGGCGCAAGGATCGGCGCAAAATGGAAGATCTATGTGAGGTGGGTCGGTCAGCTGGCATGTCATCACCCAAACATGGGCTGACATTACTGCTTGGAGGAGCAGACCGTTCAGCATGAACCGAACCGTTCTGGTCGGGCCGGTTCAGATTAGAGAGTAAAATGTTAGCTGGAGTGTTTGTCATGCTGGTTTCTTGCTCAGGAGGTATCATAATTTCAAGGGATATTGCAATAAGATGAGATAAAACAGAGAGGAAAATGGGTTGTGTGCTAGCTAGCTGATCGACCAGCAAGAGAGAGAGAGAGAGAGAGAGAGAGAGAGAGAGGAGATGAGTGGATGAAAAGAAGAGAGGAGGTTTGGGCGGGGAAGAGAGGAATTAATAGGGGAAGGAAGGAAGGTCACATGCAAGAGAAGAAGACATGTGATGAGTTTTATAAAGTGGTGAAGGCACGAGAATTTCTTAGGGAGGACTGACTGTCTGTGGTGTGTGGTTACGGTGGCCAAGCCAAGATTATAGCTAGCTACGGTACTGTTTAGTTGTAGCAGCTAGGCTAGAAAGAGACCAACCGAGTTTGATTGGGTGTAAGGATGACGCGCGTATTCAACTAAAATAGTGTTTCTTTCCTACTTTGGCTTTGTTGGGGGTACGTGTTTGCAGGGCATTCGTTATCTTCTTCTGCCCATCTCATATATCTTGTACAACAGAGATTTATATGCTATGCCTTAGAGTCTCATCACTATTTATGACGAATGACATATTCTCTCATGTTTTCTTTATTTTTCTCCCCCCCAATTCCCATTCCCCCTTATATCATTAATTTCAAAAGATAATTAGACAAAGATTTGGCTATCAAATTAGGTTAATGTATGTTTATTTGGGAAAAGAAAAAAAAAGAAGAGGCCCTACTAAATTCACATTCCCATAATACGATTTGATGTCAACGAAAATATGTTGAAGTATATATCAAAGCTTAAATTGTGTGCTACGTTCGTACCACACATGGGCATCAATCAAAACCATACTTGATCAGCTGGGTAGTTTCTGCATTTAGTCATTAGATGACTTTGTGCTTGATGAGGCTCAGATGTATTCAATAATTTATATATGTCACACCGATCTCTTTTCCAAAATTAGAAGCACCAGACAGAGAAAGTATGCGTATGCGCTTTATTTCTCAGCAGCTGCTAGCTAAAGCTTATTCGAAATTTAGAATACAAAAACCACTGTGGTCCATAAGCTTCGTCCTATTATTATTTACATTGGTCGCAGATGTTCCCTTGAGGATTCTTGTTTACGATATTTTAGGGTAGGCCATGGCCACCAAACAAGTATGCTTATTATGGGGTGGGGGGGCCAGAGTTCTGGACACCCAAAGACTAGTAATTATTATTATTATCAATCTCTGACTTTGTATGAATTAGTACAGAAATTAATTAAATTAAGACTAATTGTATCACTAATTAGGTGTTGAATTTGAATACAAAGGAACTCCAACCAACCCCATTTTTTCTTTTCTTTTTTAATCTTGGCTTTATTTTCTTTGTAGGGTATCTCCTTTTGTGGTGTGCCTTAAGGGAAAAAAGAAAGAAAGAAAGAAAGAAAGAGAACATAGAGAGAGTATGCTGGTTCCTCGTGCCCCTTCTAGGTGTCAAATACCTATTCATTATGGGAGATAGTGGCTGAGAAATTGTGTCGTCTTTCCCATAAAAGGCTTGGTCTCTATGGTGTCACCGTCATTGAAAGTCTGCCATACTTTTTCTTAAAAATTTCTTGGAATTGGAATCACACCAAGTAGCGATGGATTTGGTTGAATTACTCTCACTAATTATATACATACGTGTTTTAGGCAAAAAGAGGTAGCATCCATATTTGTTTGGACCCCAGACAAAGCATATATAATTTAAAGGTCGATCGAATTATTCTTTAGTATATATAATGTAGAAGTTATTGATTGATTAAACACAAGCTCGGTAGGAAAAATCGAAATGAAAATCTGTTGACATATTTTACTTTTCAAGACAAGATTCGGGTACATGCATATAATTGAGTTTTAAAGCTCTATTATTTGCTTCTAATTCAGGCATTCATATATTTTATTTTATTTTTTTGTGTTGGAAGGCATTCAGATATAATGCCACAAGAATAACACAAGCCACACTCCCAAATTAACCCCGAATCAATTATAAAAAAGAAGAAGAATTCAATAGATGTTTAGGGTGGGTTCATAGGATCCGATTTTAGGGTTTCTGTATTTTCTTTTTTTGTTGAGTCTTTGTTTTTCTTTTCATGACTTTGTATTGGATCTTTCGTAATCTCAGTTTAGTAATGACATGTTCATTCCTTGGATTGAAAAAGAAGAAGAAGAATTCAACAGATGTTATGCATACGATATTGTTCGTTTGTCACGAGAAAAAGAAAAAGGGAGCTTCTTTTGTATACTTTTTTTTACCCTTTACTGTTATAATACAGTAAATTTGATTCGGAGGTACTTTATAAGTCTTATCTTGCGAAAGGAGTCTCTTTAAGTGCCAGGTGTTGCAATACTCCTTGTTTGAAGGCCCCTTTGGAAGACGCATCCTTTCCACATTGCCATCAAAGAGTGGAGGACAATTGACACAACTTTTTTACACAGTTGCGACGTATGGCTTTGTTTAGTGCTTTTATTTTCCCCCACGATCTTTCTTTTTTCCTTTTTATAGCTATCCAAATTTGATGTGAGTGGCCAAATTAATTTAACATTCATTCATTGGGAGTAATCAGATTCTTTACTTTACTCGCAATCAGAATGAGATTTATTTTTGTCTTCTAGACCCAAAAATACATATATAAAAGAAATGAAATCATTATCACCCTCGTAACAAGTGGAGATGGTCAAGATAATTTTCTAATTTAATCTTTATGGAGAAAAAATTAAAGGATGAAAAAAGGCCATTGCTTTATATTGGCAATAATTTTCAGCACTCAAGTTTTGGTGACGTGGCATCTGCACTTTGGAAAATCCCTAGCTCTCCTCTAAATATCCCACTGTGGGGTTTGATGATGATGACCTTATATAATCATCTTAATTTCTTTCAAACAGCTAAAACCTAAAAAGCGAATTGCGTAGGCAAAGCATTATGTACTATTCAGAATTGACTAATACTATCTTCAAGGAAAAAAGAACTTGCAAGTAAAATTTTAGTTTATTTTATTTCTGATTAAGATTATATCCATCGGTCATATGCATGAGCAATAATTGTCCATCGTTAGCATGTTTGCTCAACTCAATATAGCTTTCGTCTCTCAACTTATGTAAATATATGCATAATGCATGCCATTCTATAAACATATGTCAATTCACGAGCTATATATATATATATAAAGTCTGGAGACGATCCCCTTTTCTTATGGAAGAAGGAAAAGTATGTCAAGGAAGTACGTGATAAGGTTAGTGAGCAAGCATGTTAAGGAAATTAGCGACAAGGTTAACCTTTTTTCAAAAAAAAGAGGTGAAGTTTCTCCGAGATAATGTTCATCAAGAATTAGATATTATTACTGACGTATACGGAATCATGTAGCAGCATGCATGCTATAATCATCGGAACCGTTGGAAGGACAGAGAGTGAGGAAAGTGAATAGTTCATATGTACGTGATAAACATGAGTTGACTCAAGGTGACTAATTTACATATATGCACGAATCATGATGTGACAAAACTCTATATGTGTCGACTTAAATACAAAGATTCGAGATCCATGAAGGTTATCCCACTTCACTACAATCATATATATAACGAAACTAAATAATTTTTTTTTTTTAATAGAATCCATGATTGTAAGTCAGCTGCATAGAACCAAATTAAATTGTTGAAAGGAAAAGGCATAGAAGTGGTTGATCAACAATGGGGACATGTACATATCAGATAAGAACAAATCGATCGTCTTGTCCGAGTTGCTTTGGGGGCGTACATTAATAAGAAGCACAAGGACGCAGAGGCCTGCACTGCACTGCTTGTTCATTGCATCTAGTTGTGCTTTTTGCCTCCACTGGAAACCCCATTAATATCAAATGAGTAAATGCATATGCAAATGCAAGTTCAATTAAAATGGTTAGCTTATTAGTCACTGGTGTTATACTAAGGGGAAGCATCCACTATATCTTGTTGAGAAGGAAGTCTACAAACATCTTAGTGCCTTCCTTCTTGGCTTGTTTGTTGTTGTAGTCTGCAACATGCATGCACCAAAGAACACAAAAGTTACCCTCATTAATCCCTATTGGTTCTTTGTTTCACACTGCAAGTTTAATGGATTGTCCATTAGGTTGGTTGTCGCACGTCAACTTTTCTTTTCTGACTTATTAGATTGGAGGTAGAACCAGTTAATTCTGGGGTCCAGTACATTTCTTGATTATTAATTTCTTATGTTAATTTGAGCAATTAATTACACCAGAGAGCTAGGTCTAATTATATATAATATCCTTCAGTTTCTCGTTTTAAATACTTTGTTGATTGGATTTTTGTTTTTTTTTTTGTTTTGGCCGAAGTTAGGAAGAGGGAAGGGGATTTTCTCACACTGTCAAGGTGCCATGAGAGTTCGACCTTGAGACCACTAGTATGCCAGTCAATGTCTTTTTCCACTTAGTTAGACCCTGTTGCGAATAAGGTTTAAATTTCAATGTTAAGAATTAAAAGGTATATAATTAGGCCAAGGTGCATAAGGACTTATTCAGTTTGTATCCGGGGTTAAATATGACAATATAATACATCACATGTCATTAACTCGATCAAGTAAAATAATTAACAATTAGCACTACATATATTGGGGTTTGACCATTTTAATAATGTGATTTAGAATGGTGAAATGTATGGCTGGCCTTTAGTCCACTTTGATATTATTTGATATTGCAGCTTTTCAAACACAACCAAAGGAATGTTGCCAGACGCATCCAGATACCACGTTCTTACTCAAATGGAAGAAGCCCACTGTTATGGTCTATATCTTTGTATATTACACAGTTTCTTATATCCAGAGCTTTAGCAGCTTAACAAATATTTGACAATGCAAAAGGGTTGCTTTTCAATGCTTAATGGTTTATTTATTTATATATTATCTGTTTACGTTTTGCTTTAAACAATAATTAAAGAAAAGAAATAATAACAAACAGCCTGAACGTGTATGGTGTTCATTGAATTTGCATAATTATGTGACAGATGGAGGTTTTGGTAGAATTCTGCAGTGTCTTATTTTCACGGCGGCGAGATAAGGTGGCCGGTGACAGGTGTTGTCCTTATATATCATGCAATATGCGTTAATTGGAGCTTAATTAATTAGTTAATTATAATTAAAGCCATTAACCTCATGTTTTTT